TGATGGAATAAAGATTCCAATATTTTGTTTAATATTGCACGAATTAGACATGTTTTAACAGGATAAATTTATTAAAAGATCTAGTAATTCTAATATAATAATTAGATTATTAAACTACCACAGATCAAAATTGAAAATTTTAATAAAATTTTAATAAACTATTAATAGAATATCAGATATTTATTTGGTTAATAGCTACCAAATACTTAGTATATATTATCTACTTATTAAATAGATATTACTTTTAATAGACTTATTAAATATCTAATACTTCTATTATAAAATATTAGATATCTGATATTTTATAATAAAAGTATCAGATATTTAATAAACCTATTAGAAGTTATATTTATCTAATAAGTAGATAATATATGCTAAGTATTTAGTAGCTATTAGTCAAATAAATATATGATATTCTACTAATAACTTACTAAAATCTTTTTAATTTAAATTTTAATCTATATACCATATAAAAGATATAAAATTCAAATTCTAATATTGATAAATTTGAATAATTACTCAGATTTTGTATTTAATTTTTAGTAAATTCTGTTTGTTTCTGAGATTATAATTTTATAAATCAGGTTATATCAAGTTAATTAGATATTAGAAATATAATATATTATTATATAAATAAATCTAAATCAAATCTATAAGCAAAAACCTGCATAGTAGAAATTCCGAGTAATAAAGTAGTATAATCTTTAATAGTTATCTTAGTAAAACTCAAAATTTGAAAAAGAAAACTTAGATATAAGAATATGAGTAAGTCTAATTAATTAATTAATAATATCAATTTAACTTAATAGCTAACTAAATTTAGAAGAATCTAATTAACTAAAAAATATAAAATACTAATAAGTGTTTAAAAAACTGTAGTTAGAATTGTATAAACATTATAAGGTTTAATTTAGATAAATTTATAAAATAAACATAAACTACTCTAGTAAGTTTATATTAAAGTTAACTAACTCTACAATACCCACAATATGTTAGATATAATGTATTCTAAAAAAATCTAAGTTAACAATCTAGTTAACTTAAATAATTAAATATTATAATAATATTAGATTATAACTATAAAGGTTAATTAAATAGATAACTCACAAGCAGGTTACAAAGTATGATAACTTGTGTAAAACTATTTAGATAGTCTAATGCTATGTGACAGACTATTTAAATAGACAATAACTAAAACAATATATATAACTTGTTATATATCTTCATGTATTTACAAACATTAGGAGATTACCAATATGCGACTACGCATATCAAATTAATAAAATCCTCTTCAGCAATGTAAGCCGTCTTAACAACGAAAAAAAATCTATAATAAATATAGTAAATTTATCTATATATGGTAATTTATTAAAAATATCAAAATAAACAGCATACTGTACCTCATTTTATTAATGATAAATTTTTTTTAATATTCTTAATAAAATCCTCCAATAGTTGATAAAAATATTTTATATTTCAGTAATTTTATTCGAAGACTGCCGGTATTGTTTGGGATACTAAGTTATAAAGAAAATTAATGAAACAAGCGTATACAAATATTTTACATCAATCTCGTGTATCCATTTATATATGATACCTTTGACTCGCTGCATTTTTTTACGTTTCTCAGATGTATATTTTTATTTCTATATTTCAATTCTGTCTTATAGCTATTTTTTAAATTTTATGATGATACCGAAACTTCTATCTCCTCATGAAAAGTCAATTTTTATTCATTTTCTATGCATTATTATCGCAGGCAATAACATGTATCTATTTTTATCGAAGTCCTTATAGACAATTTGAATGCAAGTTATTGTAATTATTACAATGTTACTATTTTTACAGTTTTATATTATAACGTATTTGTCATAAATGATATTAGGTTTTGTCCTAAATCTACCATATCAATCTTTTACGAACTGCGCATGTACTCAAGGGAAATATTTAGGTTCTCAATATAAAATTTGTCCTAGTGGTATTAGAACAGACAATCCAAATGGTATCTGGGAGGTTCAGGTTGTAATTGCAGTTAAAAAAATGTTTATGTTTTTTAAAGATTGTCATCATATACTAGTATATTTGTTTTTTTTTCTTATTATTTGTTTATTTAATTAAAGATTTAAAAATTATTTAGTGATTTAGTTGCAATCAGGTCTGCATTTTTCTCTTTTAATTTTTGATGGAATAAAGATTCCAATATTTTGTTTAATATTGCACGAATTAGACATGTTTTAACAGGATAAATTTATTAAAATCATTAGATGATAAAATATTTAAAAAATACTGTAACAAAGATAAATATGAAATATAAAAAACTTTCATATTTCTGAACATCCATCACAGCTACAACTATAACCACGATAACAGTCCGTGTCTAGATCTTGATA